ACACACACACACACACAAACACATACACATACATTGGCTATTTGAAATTATTTAAAAAAAATTTTTTAAACAAATATTTTAATTGGACGAATCTATAATACAAGATGTCATTAAAGCCGTAAAAACATACGAAATCTCATTAACTGTGCTTTTTCTTCTATCACAGATTAAATATGACTTTATTGAAAGAAGAGATAATTTCTTAAAAATATGTATTTATTGTTATATATATATATATTTTTTTTTTTCCCTTGAGGTTTGTTTACCCGGGCGCTCAGTCTCTGGACCATTGTACCCGGTTATATATATATATAGACTTTAAAGTTACCCTATATAATTAATAAATGATAACATCGCAAGTCAAAGACACAGACTATCGAAGTGTTTAATTATCGTTAGAAGTTCGTAGAAAGAAACTTGTGATGCGGAAAACTAATTAGAAAAGGTATTTGAAGGTTGATCACAAAAGAGACCGCGTGTGACCGTGGGAGATTTCTCTTGATTCTCTGCTCGTTAGTTGGCATACCTGGCATTTCATTTTATTCTTTTTACACATTATATTCTTGTTTTTTTTTTTTTTTCTATGAACACGTGCTCTCCAAGGTAACAATAAAATCCGGTCAGTGGGCGACCCGATCTCCTGTAACATTATCCCAGTTACGGAGAAATCGTTCTATCCCCTCTCTCCCTCCCCCTTCTTCTTCACCATTTGTTTATGTTACACTGCTGGAGTCACTCTCGTGTAATTAATCGTCGCGAATCTTGATTCGGATGAGCTAGAAAATCGTTTGCGATTATCTGGAAAGGATCATTGGTCATTTTATTCCTTTCATTTGATATAAAACATTATCTATAATTTAACATTTGAGATAAGCAGAAGTTAGACCATTGTAAATGTTTCTTGTTCGAAAGTGTCGTAATTCATGTTACGGAGTGTAAACTTGGAGAAATCTAAAATCGATCGGCTTGTATACATTTAAAATTAATGATGCAAAATATGGAACAACATTGAAAGCTATCTCGATTAATTGAAAACATTTAGTCTTTTGCTGTAAAATTAATTTCAATTTGCGACAAACTTAATAACTCGACAAAATGATTATTATTTTTTTATTTGTATCACAGTTTTAAATGTAACTTTATTAAAACGAAAAAGGTATACCGTTAAATGTGTACGTGAGTAGTAAAGTGCCGAATGATATGCGAAAAATGTTTAATATTTTTAATTTGATAATTTTCTGAATTTTTTCGATCCGTAGATTGATTCGAGACAGTATTTACATTTCTATACATTTTTATTTATGAAATAGCATATTTATAAAAACTCGAACGGTCCATGTGACATTTTATAAAAAGATAATAAAAAATGGATACTTTATCGGAAATTTTGCTGATTAAAATTCTTCATATATTTATGCACAGACGTAACGTTTATTTATCTGAATTTATTTTAAGATTGTTGGATCATCACAACGATTACGAATATTTGATATAATACATATGTAAGAAGTGATCTGGATAGAGATAGACATTTGTATTTATAAACTCATTATACGTTTCTCAACGAAACTAGGAATCCATGATGACTGAGTATCAAACGATTTCTAAGCAATATTCTTGCTCTGTAACCAGCTGGTGCACGTAACTGCAAATTGGAAGTCCCGCTACGTTATGCAGAAATGAGACTTTTTATCGGATAAACATGTATTTGCTTTTCGATATGTTCGAATACGATAAACCCAATACAGAAGCAAATTTCAAAATCGATATTAGAATGTTTTCATCCTTTTCAGGTTCAGACATCTATCTTTTGGTTTAAATTTTCCAATGATTCTATTTATTTGATTATTCAATATTATTCGCTACATTAAACTTGAAATGTAAATAAACGAAGATACATTTTTATAAATTACAATGTGGGACAGTTTAGAAATAGGCCATGTATCTATGCAAATGATAATATGTATAAACGATTATAACACCTGTTATGTATTGCCACTTATTACATCCTTTTATACAGTGAAAGTAATTTTAAATAAAATCATATATTCTCTCCTCGCATATACTTTTTAATATATCTTTTATTATCTCTCGTGGATAACGTTACGAACGAAATAGAAAGTATTTATGTAGGAAATGAATAACCTGGTTGTTTGCTCTTAGCAAAGAATTAAACGTAAGAAAAATACATTTTTCATTACGCGTCGACCGAATTATTTACATTTAATGCTACTGTAATTAATCATTTTTCTGTTATAACGCTTTAAATTTGCACGTATATAGTTATATCACCTGAACAATTTACAACTATAAAAAAGATCATTACTACTTTATTTAAATTATTATATGTATATACATATATGTGAATATTTTCTACATCTATGATTTGAACGAATAAAAAATTATTATAACTTTTTGATGTTTAAATCAAATTTCCTGTTATATATTATGCAATCAAATGTCAGATACTAAGAAAAAGTAATTAAGTTTTGTCGTAGGTAGAAAATAAATACGTTATTTTAAATATATGTATGATTAAAACAAAACAAAGATCAAGTCAATGCAATGTTGAGCACGGCTAGAAATGTGTGGGCAAGTTCGATAGAATCGACGAACTGTAAAAAGGTATTCGAGCGTTTATGATTACTGCAAAAATGGTAGTATGAGTTTAACGAAGCTTCGATTAACGAAGAATACAAAACAAGATTGGATCACTTTTTGGAAAAAAAAAAACAATCAACGATACTAACTTTTGTTTATTTACTATAAATTTTGTAAACTCCCTTACATAATTTTGATTGAAATCTGATTATTCGTGTATTGTAATTTAAAACTTCATCTTTATTATGAAGATCCTTTTTTAAAAGGAAAAAAATGAAACTAAGATTGATCGTATTCTAAGAAGAAGAAGAAGAAGAAGAGAGAGAGAGAGAGAGAGAGAGTAAACGATCTCTTTAATATTCTTGACAAGATCGAAGGTTTTAAAGAGTACTTCTTTCTTACATTTTTATTTATTTACTCATCTTGTATCGCATTTAAGTGATCATGAAAATTATAACAAGCAAAACTAAACTTTGTACAGAAAGTTTGCATTATATTATAACTGTAATCTAATAATCTTGGTCAGAACACGTTAAAAGACTTACTTAGCTCGTCTTATGATTTTATCGCGACAACCGTTAGTCGTCCGCTTATAATAGTTATAACATAAAAAAAAATAAAAAAATGCATAGCTCGAAGAACGATTATTCACAAAACCTTCCTCGTGTTTCACGGAGTCATGAAGACGCACAGAGAATTGCGAAAATTAACGAAGCGACTCCTTGTATTACGCGATATTCTTACGATTATTCAGAGCGTAGAGAAATAGAAACGAAAATTCATTGTCGTAAAATATAATACCTGTAGTTGTCAGTAGTTAGACGAAATATCATTATTTTCGAAAGTAAAGACAATAGGCTGTGCAGCGAAATCAATGCGATTGAAAGTAATAGTAGGATGTTTGTTTAAAAAAAAAAAAAAAAAATTTAAATACTTCATTACTGACTTCTCGAGAAATACTTTTTTTTTCTTTTCTATAATTGTTTTCTTACTAACAAGTTAGAAAAGAAAAATGTAAANAAACGAAAATTCATTGTCGTAAAATATAATACCTGTAGTTGTCAGTAGTTAGACGAAATATCATTATTTTCGAAAGTAAAGACAATAGGCTGTGCTGCTTTCACTATGCGATTGAAAAAAATAGTAGGATGTTAATTAAAAAAAAAAAAAAAAAAAAAGTTATTTAAATACTTCATTACTGACTTCTCGAGAAATACTTTTTTTTTCTTTTCTATAATTGTTTTCTTACTAACAAGTTAGAAAAGAAAAATGTAAAACGTTTTTTATTTTTTTGAAAATATCGTTCAATGTGATGGATGAATAAATAAGAATAAGGACCTATCTGTTTTACGATCAATCGTTTGTTGATTAAATTTCGTACATTGACACTGAATTGAACATTCTCTTGACGGCTATGATAAATTGGAGATGAACAAAAAGAGTAACAGGAATATTGTCTCGCTGATTGATAGACTAGATAAGTTTGATGAATCTCCTTTTTTCTCTTTTCCTTTTTCTATAATTCTAACCAATTATTAATTTATGTATACAAGAAGGAACACTTTTTACTTTTACAAAAAAATATCAATTTTTTTGTTTGCTGCATTACTTTATTCCTTTCTTTTGAAAAGCGTGCAAAGAATTATCATTGCAATAACTCTTATTATTATATTTTTTTTTTTTTATGTGAACGTACAATTTCTAACAATGGGTTAAAAAATATTGTTCGAACATTTTAATTTTTAATATTGCACTCGAACTACATTTAATTTCCGATATTTCATAATAATCAATCCTTTAACAGTGCATTTGAGACTTATTGACATTCTGGATTATAGATATAATTAAATTTGATTTAGATATACGTTTATTCTAGGAAATATTCTCTGTTTAATATGATACTGTATTTATTTTAATTAAATTATGGTTAAATATTCGATTAATTAAAAAAAATATTAGAATTATTATATACATTTAACAATAAGATTATATACAAGGTTATTTTTTTGAAGTTATAAGTTTTTATTTTTAAATCATTCCAGTTATTTTTTCTACTTTCTGTCATTAATTCATTCCCATATTTTTCTACGTTCATTAGGATTGCAATTAAAATGAAAATAATTTTTGTCTACATCATCAAATTATCCCAGATGTTAATCATTAAAATGACAAGTGAAATTTTGATTATAACGATGTGAAATATTTGAAATCAACAGAATTTATTGTTCCCAATGGATTTTTCATGAAATGCTATTAATTAAATGATAAAACATGTCAAGGATGTAATTCAACTTCACGATATTTACATTTAAATTTATTTTCAAATTTGTTCTTTTTTCTTATCTTTTTTTTTTTTTTTCTTTCGATCGTTTATCATATCCATTTGTTTTCGTTTTCAGGCTTACAAGGCAAAGGAAGAGGGTAAAGTTGTGGTTTACACCACTTCATCCGGCATTGTTAGACTAACATTCTACAATTGCATGAAGGTAAAGCAGATTCTGAACACGCACATGGTGAAATATGAGGAGAAAGATCTCTTTCGCAGTGCTGAATTGCAAACAGAGTTGAGAGATCGAATAGGTTGCACAGCGATTCAAGTGCCACAGCTTTTCGTCGGTGGACAGTACATTGGAGTAAGTTTTTTCTTTTTTTTTTAATTTTAATATATACTTAAAGAATTTTAATCGTATCATTATCACAATGGTAATATAATAGATAAAAAAAAAACAAAAAAACAAAAAGCAATTGATTGATTTAATTTATCTCACTATCAGATTTAAATCCACAGAAGTTTCTTCAAATGTATTTTATTAAATAGAATTCAAATATCGATAAAGATATAATTTGATAAATTTATTCACTATACTTATATATTAGACGTATTTCAATATTAGCCTTCACTATCAGCGACTCCTTCAGTGATATCTTTCAAGTTTAATTGATTGGTTTCACGTTTCATTACTTTTTCGATAACCTTCGTTTCGAGAGAAAGAACAAAAATGAAATTTAAAACAGCGGATAAAAAAGAATGTTAAGGTCGTACGAATAAGAGTATTTCTATTGTTTTTATCACATAGGAAGTCTCGAATGACAAATGCAATGGAAATTAAAATCAAATCCTGATAAAATTATCCGTTTTCTCATATTTCATATGTTTATGCGTAGAATGTAACTTGTAATTAGGTGAACAATATTAATGAATTTAATTTATGAAAATATTCTCAATTAACATTAATTTTTGAACTTTGTTCGTACAGGTTTTCTTGTCTCCTACTTGCGTGTTTTTTTTTTTTTTTTTTAACACATTTTATTTTGTTCGATGTAAATGACTGTTGTCGTACGTCAGATCTTTATGGGTTTGTTATGACATCAACACATTACACATATCGTATTCTAATCTCATCTTAAGATTTTTTTTTTCCTCAATCATCAGCTATTTTGATCTTAACGATCATTATTTTAATGCGTATCACTTTACCAATAAAACTTACCGCTTAACCAACTTTTTGAACTTTTTTCTAAAAATTAAATAAAAATCGTTACAATCTTTTGATAATATGTATGAGACAATAGGAGTGTGTTTCATTATGGATTAATCAAGATTTACAATTTAATTGTATCGAAACAAGTCGAACGAGAAAAAGAATCGATTGTATTAGTTGAATCAAGCGTAAACATACAACGTGATCGCAATTTCAATATAAAATGATAAGAAATCCGATTGGTTTCGATTGATTATTTGTTCTCGGCATTCAATATGAGTACTTGTGGATAATGACGCTATCGAGTGTTTGTCAGTGATCGTTCGTCGGATCTGCATTCGACATTCTTTACGGTTTTCATGTCGCTTCTTACCTTTCAAGATCTCGTATATTATTAACCGATCTGATTATTTCAAGAAATTGAACAACTCAAAGACAATTAAAACACGTTGTATAGATAGAAACGTAATAACTATGGGTTAGTAAATTTTTTCGTAAAAGAAAATATATTTACTTTTACTTTTCTCTTTTTTTCATCAAATATTGACAATTTTTACGATATTTTCAATAACGTCAACTTTCAATAAATTCAAGAATCCGTTAAATAAGCCCTTTTGCACGTTTGCTAACCATCGAAAGGATTACACAAGCTTCTATATTTTTTTAAATCGAAAAACAATAACTAACAAGCCCTTTTGCACGTTTGCTAACTATCGAAAGAATTACACAAGCTTCNATTACACAAGCTTCTATATTTTTTTAAATCGAAAAACAATAACTAACAAGCCCTTTTGCACGTTTGCTAACTATCGAAAGAATTACACAAGCTTCTATATTTTTTTAAATCGAAAAACAATAACTAACAATAAGAGAATAAGAAATTTTATTATTTTTTTCTTTGACAAGACGTAATATATTAAAATTAATGATTAAGTCAATTCTTTTAATCAACATTTGTATTTTCTACTGTGTGGTGAGATATTTTTAATAATTATTACAATGTCGTGAGTTTTAAATAAATTTTCAACAAGTGAGCTGAAGACTCGCACGAAAGACAAGGCCAATCCAGCGTTACGCAATCGTGAATATTCGTTGTCGTGAAAGTCGAAAAAGAGAGAAAAAGACTAACGTGAAATGTCAAAGATAAGCGACTCTACTCGTTCACTGTGCCACACTACACTCACCATCGTGATCGGAGCCAGTTTAAAGTGAGATCGAGGACGAAATCTAATACAAGGGAACCATATTGGCTACTTTAATCTTTTTTAAACTTCAATCTTTTTCGAACTTCAATGTTATCGAAGAAATAAGAACATGAGATACACGCTGTTAAGTAATTAACCACATGGGAGAAATATGTTAAAAATATTCAAAACTTGTTCGGAAATAAAAATGTTTTAAAATTCTACGCAAATTGAATTTTAATTTTGCCAGAATTATTTGATCGAAACTACGAATAAAATCGTTTTTAACGAAAAACCGGTTCGCGATCACAACTTTCCTTCAACGAACTTTCGTACAATTTTCTATCGATTTCTTTTTTTTACCGTTCAGTCCATAATTTTTTGCGGTGACCATTCAGAAGTAAAAGTAAACGAAATGATAAAGTAGCATGACAAATGTTTAGGAAACATCGCTAACACTTTCAACTTAAAATGTGCATCTTTTCATGATGAAAGTTTTATAGTTTGTTGGGTGGCTTTGAACGTACCGTATTGGCCACGTACCAACTCGTCGTCGCTTTTGCAACATAATCTCCAGCTGTTTTTAAAAGATGAAAGAATATCCGATCTTGGTGTCATATTCGTTTGAAGTAATTTATCGTCAACTCTTTCATTTCCTATCCTTGTTACTGCTGAAGAAAATATCAAACGAAAAACAAATTTTACTGAAAGAGTTTCAAAATTAACGTTAATAATTATTTTTAATCTTATATAATATCTCGACAATCTCATATTCCTATAAAGTAATAAAGAAACAAGATAAGAGATAATATTTTGACAATTATATTTTATGGTTCGTTGTATTATCATTATAAGGGTATGAACAAATTGTAATTTATTAAAGAAAACATTGCTGAAAAGATCCCATTGCATGATTTTTTTTTTTTCTATTAATAAATCATTTATAATCCGGCGGAAAAATCGTGGCATAAATTTTGATTAAATCCCGACGGCCAGTATTTTCTCGACATTAATTTTTTAGAAAGCAGCGTCACGCTAAACGAATATATAAGAATTCGCGGGTAGGTTCATCCAACGGGAGTCGGGAACATGTTTCCCTTAACACACTCGAGGATTATTATCTAACTTTTCTAAGCTTTTCTGTGTTCTCTTCGAAAAGAACGTTCTGTTCACTTAAGGCTGATTGTAATCCATTCTCGCTAAGGCTAGAATACCATTTCTAAAATTATTCAAGTGTTCGCGTGTGAAAGCTGAGAAGAAACATTGTTCGATTTTAACGATAATTTGACTTATTTACATATTATTTACCAAAGTTAGATTAAAATACTTATTTTAATATTTACTCTAGGGAACTTCTAAGTGTATTTATCTGATTAAAATAATCTGATTAAAATAATCTGATGTAAAAAATACAAATAGAAATCGTATGTAAATATTAAAATTATCTTCTCTTTTTCAAATTCGAATGTAACTTATTTCTCAACTTCAAATAAAGTTCTAACAATTCGTTCAAGCATGATACGGATTATATTTCATATTTAATTCATTTATGTAGTACATATAAGAGTTATTGATATAACAAAATGAAGATTTACCTAACTTGTCGACGTTGTAGATTTAATTATAATTTGATGACAACAGCACAGATTGTTACTGCCATTCCATTCTATTAGCTGAAACATTTTAATCAAGATCTTCATAATTGACTGAGTCGACATAACAACGAAGAGAGTTAAATCGTGTTAATGTAGTTAGACTCAGGTAACTCATAAAATTAAAATGATTCGCATACCAATGAGAGATAAACATAAAAAAAAAAAAATAATTTTGAATTCGTATTTCGAGTCGTAAAAGAAGTTGTATTTCAACTATTCTGTTTTTCTACGGAATTTACTTTAGAAGCTTTTAGAACTTTTATTCGAAATGTCGGAGATAAAACGAAGTATAATCTAAAATGGAAAAAAAAAATATGGAAAAAAAAAATAAGATTAAAAAGGAAAACAGAGAATATTTAATAAATAGCTAGTCTACCATTCGGTGTCAATGATCTCGCGAAATTCCTCTAACGGTGGATACAAGGGTGAACAAGATTAAAGCACAAGGGGAAAGGAATAAATAAATAAGGTTTGAAAAATTTAGGATGTCAAGATGACAACAAGAAGATTAGAAAGGGTATGTGCAATATAAAGGACGTTAACATTTTTCGGGGAGTATATTTTACACGTACACATATACCTACACGGTGTAGTTTGCTATAATAATTCATATCAAAAGTCAAAGGTATGGTATAACAAGTTATACGTGATCTTGTCCTATTGGAATTTATTTACATCATAAATCAATAATTATAATTCGAAGCATGCAACATGTAAAACACGCGATAAAGATTAAAATATATATGCATGATAAAAAATGAAAAACAAGATACATCTTAATAGTGTCATAAAATATAACAATATAAATAGAAAAATCAGAGTAATACTAGTCTAATATTAATTTTTAACCCTTTAACTTTATAGTAGAAAGTTCTCTCGAAGTATTTAATTCTAGAAAAGAGATTATTAAATAAAGAGTTTAAATAGGATAACGTTTACTATGTGTATACATAAGAAGATAAACTAATCATCAGTCAAGTCAGTCTACTTAGTCTTCGTAAAGTATTCATAGACAACTTCTATGTCTGCTTTGGTCCAGATACCACTCGATTTGATTCGAAGGAGTAAGCAAAACAAAACTAGGAACGGCAATAGTAAGGTTCGATCCCCTCTACGTAAACAAGAATAAGACAAAGAGTAACAGAGAGAAAGAGAAAGAGAAGGAGAACTAGTTTTGTCTCTCTTGTACGTTTATTCGTGTATCGGTACTGTCGATGCGGCCAATCGCGAGAATTGTCGGGAGAGTAGATATACGAGTAAGTGAAATGTCAAGCTATTCGATCCAAGGCCATTGCGGAAAGGAGAAGAAGAGAGGAAGAGAAAGATAGATAAATAGAAAGAAAGAGAGAGAGAGAGAGATAGAGAAAGAGAGAAGAAGGGGGTTTATTCGTTTGCGCCTGTCTTGACTCTGATCTGTGGTCTGGCTGTAAACGTTGTTTATACACACATATACATGCATAAATATGTGTGTATTAAATCCGGCCAACATTCCTATCTAACAACGTCACACAATTATTTACATTACTATGGAGAAACGTAGATGATAGCTTTCGTCCTTCAAAACACCTCTTTGAACAATCAAAAATAATTCATTTGTACAGAATCATTGGTACGAGTAATCAAATTGACTGATTATGAGTTGAACGGATCGTAAAGAATTGAACGAGACAGTACAGTAAAAAAAATGTTTCTTTAATTCACGATTCGCATTAAAATCGTTCTCTTTGTAATGACGTCTTATCAAGGAGAAATTCTTCAGTTTTTATATTCTTCAGTGTTCCTCTAGGCGATACGATTCTTTTGAAATGATATTCTGCTGTTATTGATGAAACGAGTTTGAGAGAATAAAACGTAAGATTGTAGCTTTTTTTGCAAAAACAACTTAATAAAATGTTTATTTTTTTTTTCATCTTCGATTATTATATTTTCTTTGATAAAAATACAATTTTGATGGATGGGTCAAATCAAGTGTTTGTCAGATTTATCTAACTTTCTTTTACAAATTATTACACTTATTAACACTTTTACCGTCATTTAATCTCATCTCAGCATTTTTAATTCTATTCTTCAAATTTGTTCTCTTTTTCTTTTATTTTCAGGATGCTGACACCGTCGAACGGCTCAACGAATCCGGAGAATTACGTCGAATGCTTAAACCTTATCAGGTAATTTAAGATAAGAAATTGTTCGAAACAAACGTAGAAACTGGATGAATAACCATCTAATTTACCTTGTCTAACATACTAATTATCTGTTTCCTGACTTATACTTACTTTACAAGCATTGAATCCCCCTTTGTTTTTATTTTTTTTTTTTACTTTCTACGAAATAAAACAATGAAGTTTTCTTACTTTCTTTAATTCTCTTTCGATTTGTAAAATCGATAAATTTATATRTATATAATCAATGAAATTTTATAACTTATAATGAAAAATACCTTCTGATATCATATTCAAAAAATTAAATAAGTATCAAGTTATTACAACGGTATAAAATACAAGATAAAAATGAGATTGAAATTCGCGAATAAAAATGAAACGAAAACAAGGAAAGAAAGGAAAAAGTTAATATCGGTGAATTTGGTGAAAGTTTTAGGCGTTTTCTTACTCAACAAAAGCTCTTCGAGAAAGTTGTATATTAGTATCAATGGAAATTCTTTCCGGAACGTGACATTTTAATATTATTACATTACAAAAGCAGAACAATCTGTTGATTCATTAACAATTGAAAAGATATTTTACATATCAAAACCAATGAAAAGTATCGTAACAAGAATCTTCTGCAACAGTTTTTATTGATTCGAAGGATTCTTTACTTTATGAAATACATTGTTGTTTATTTTCATGTAAAATATGTTCTTTTAATATCACCTCTAATTATAAAAAAGCAACGTAATACAACGCTTAATTTAACAAATCGTAGTCATCGTTGTAACGAAAGAAAAAATAGAAGAGAATCGTCGAATCATTTCTCTTTTACGACGACAGTGAAAGTGTCGAACAAATACTTTCTAAAGAATCGAACTACCACCGGCATCTACCAATCGTGCAGTCTTTGACCGCAAACATGTGTTGGTCAAACATCTCTTGCAAAAGATGGTGATAATATAGGATTATTATTAGATCTATTATATCTGCTTTTACATTTGCTTTCAATCGCTATCGATTTTCATAGAAAACATAAAAATAATTTATCCAAAGATGGTAATAAGATAAAATGTAATAATAATTTTTATAATTATTCATGTTTAATATTAACAAAATGTATAAGCAAATTTTGTAACATTTTTTATCACGATTGAGCGAAACAACTATTCAAGCAACGTGGAATAATGTTAAAATTCGCTTAGGATGTTTATAAACCTTCTTATAAAAAGGAACTATTCGAAGCAGGTATAACTGGATCGTAAAGAAACCTGTGCAGCAAAACATGTCCAGTTACACCCACATATTCACGTATACAAACACAATCATATAGAGAAGAAATAAAAACAGAGAACGTAGCCATTCCAATGAACGCAAGGTTGTACCGGTCCTTTCACTTTTATCCGTCGGCTATCTATCCCCATCCTCCACCCTACTATCTACTTTTTTCTTCCCCTCTACACTTCTTTCATCTTACATACTCGCGTTCGTAGATTTTGGTATCGTACACAAAGAGAATTTACCTTGTAACGATCAAAGATCGTTCACATCTACTCATAATAAATGCAACGAACATTTGTTTTCCAATTTTTCATTTTAGTTCTTTTTTTAATATTAAGCTTAAAATTATTACATCAAAAATATTCTCATCATCTATGGAATTTTATTAATATAAAAAAGAAAAATAACTTGAATTCGTAAATGCACTGAGATAGAAAATATTCATTGTAACTTTTTTTCTTTTGTATATATTTTTTAGATCTTTTAAAATTCCCAAATTTTTTTTTTCTTTTTGAATTTAATTAACTGAAAAAGTAAAACAACGTAAATATCAAAAGAATATTCATACTAAGTATACGTGTAAAAACGTTTATCATTTACATTTATTTTCATTTATAATTTCAGCCATATTCACACTTTATTGCAATACCTTTTTCCTTTTGGTTTATTAATCAAACGATTACTTTTCGTCCTTGATATCGTCCACTTGTAACGATTTAAATAAAAAATTCTTTTTGCAACCTCCCCGATGGCCAAACCAGCTCGAATTCCACGTGTAGTACGGTCACGCACCGAGAGCTTTGCTTTTTATTTTTTTGTTGCTTCCTTTAGTAAAGCAATAATCATCTCCAAACCAATTTTCTTGCGTTACAGAGCGACGGCGCGTGTCCTTCGTGCCTGTTTTGCGGAAATTATCGACTGCTGGTCTGTCCCGTTTGCAACGGCAGCAAGAGATCCGTTCTGCGCAACGACTTCACCGTTGAATTCGTTGCCTTGAAGTGTATGAACTGTGACGAGACCGGTCTGGTTCCCTGCCAACATTGTTGAAAGAAAAGGAGGAAGAAGAAGAAATAAAAGGGATCCATCCCTTTTTGGCACATCGTCGACGTTCTTCGATGCTTTATCAAGCAACATACTAACAATCAACTCTCCGATTATCTTCCCTTTCTCTTATCTCATGGTGCTACAAAAAAAGTATATGGTTTCGACGATTAATTTGACACTAAATCTACCATATAATCGGTCACAATATGACCGATTTTATATAGTTTATATAGAAAATTTCAACGAGAAATACAAATTCGGTAGATTTAGAGTTAAAAGTATTGAAGCGGAGAGAAAACAAAATTAACTAATGAATAATTGAGAAAGAGAGAGAATGATAAAGAGAGAATAACGCCGATTAACAACAGTCTTTCGTGCAGACACTCGCGATTTGTAACATATCGGTCAATAAATATTATCTAAATTTTTGTAATTTGCCACACACATATACATACACAAACACACACCCGATATCGATCCTTTCTCTTGATCGTATAAATAGAGACTTGCTGAAATTTTGAATGTCAACGTGAAAGGGGGGTATGTATCAACATGGCATCGCCGATTATAGATATTTTATTTATATTTTCGAATAAATAAAAAGTCATTACTTTTATTCTAATCAATATGTTTCTAAGCTTACTGTTGTCACAAAAGAAATTCTTTTCGTACATAGATTCTCATCGATACCTTTAAATCCTAATTTAATTAATGTATTAATCTACGCTAAACGATTGCAAATTAATTCTCGTTATCTATAATTTACGGAAAGATGACAAAATCAATGGCATATACGATGTGAATCCTCCATAAGAGAGAATCACGCAGAGACTGCTATTCAGTGAAATTAATTTGAATTAGTTCTTCTCTAACGAATCCTCAAGGGTGTTAAGGTAAGTAGAGCATAACTTAAGTGTCGAGTGGAATATTCGTTGCCATACGTTTTGTCTCTCATGGGCGATTACGATAGTAAGTATGAAACCAAACGATTACGATTATTATCATTGTTATACTTTTTAACATATAGATAACTATAAGAATTAGGATTAAGCACGTGTTTTAAGAAATAGTTCATTATTAATTACAAATTTATCTAGCTATTAAATTTTTATTCAATTACTTAATTACATTTTCCTCATCTTGACGTTACATAATACCTTTTATCACATTTCAATTTCCAATATTCTTAATAGAACAAACGTAATCTTTATTCAATCACAAAATTTCTTTCTCATGCTATCATTGAAAGAAAAAAAAAAATATCTGCATTCCATTGATTATCTCAATCATTCGGAACAAAATTTTCACGCCTCACCGCTTTAACTCACCTCACCGTCTTCGCTCGAGTAGAACCGTAAAGAAAGTATTCTTATTTATATTTATTTGTAGTTTTAAATGATTAAATTAAATAGGTCAAAGATTATAAAGAGATTCTTGTTAAATGGAACTATCGATAATCGTTTAACGATCATTAAAGATCGATCGATAGATCGAGTCTAGTTGCTATCGTAATTAGGAAAATTGTTTTCACAAATAATCGTTCATTTGAGCATAATGTGTACACGTCACTTCGAATCTCGAGGGTAATCGATCCTACGCGAGATTTTAATTATGATAATAACATCCACCACCTGTCAGTCTTCTGTCTCGCTCTTCTTCTTTCTTTATATATATCTCTCTCTCTTTCTCCCTCTCTTGATGTATTTAAGCTATAGATACGTGGTCATGCGACGCATTGATGGAAGAAGCTTTGTTTACGTATGCAACAAGTTAAATCGATAACGTGCTGCTCCTATGCCGTCAGAAGCCTCGGCTCCTGTAACCTTGACAGTCTACGACCTGGCTATCTCAATTATATCGAACTAGCCGGTATTCCACGCACATGCAAATCTTTTTTTATTCATTACAGTGGCCTTCTTTGAAGTAGTCACTCTTTCTATCCATCCTTTCTTCCCATTAAATCAAACATTTAGAGACACGGAAAACTAAATTATTCAAGAATAGATAAATTAAATTTTAATATAAATATTGAACATAATTTTCTTCTATTCATGAATGTTACTTAAATTTGAATTTTTTGTTTGATATAAATTCGGTGTGTCATCTTCGAAAGTTGTCTTTTCTTATAAAGCTTTTTTCCTTAAAGCGAAAAACATAATTTAAAAAAAAAAAAAGAATGATATTTTGAGAGTACAGAGTACAAATATTGATTGATATTTGATGTTCACGCATAAACCTACCAAACTCAAAATCTCGCTTTCATTGTTATCATCTTAATCGACTTAGAGTAGAATTTCTCGTTAAGCATTTTAAAACATTTCACCTTACTTGACGTAGACATCAACTCTAAGTTTATTCTTTATCGAACTAAAGTTTGAAAATCGATATAAGGAAGTTATCAGAGTTCATTAACTTGTTACTTGATTAATTTACTCTCATTTTCCTTTGCAATTTACATCGATCACATTTATTCGTTTCGTTCCACATAATCATTTTATTGAAGATCGGAAAAAATGAATTTTAACACATACACACACACACAAATATAATTAATTTGTATAAAAAATAATAATCATCATGTATTTGTTTAATTACAATGGTTTGAGAAGGTATCAGTTATGATCGCGCATGTGCCGAGATACGCGCTATGTTCCCGGAACTCTATTCCAGGTTACGTTACCGATATTCCAAGGCGGAAAAAAGTTCCCAAGGGAGCCCCGTATTTACATATTATGAACTTGGATCGATCGGCAACGCGCACGACCACTGTGCAGACCGTGAAAGTGTAGAGCAGCTGGAAAACTCAGATATCCAGGTGCATGCGTTGTCAGGATGCGTATTTGTGCGACAGGATAACTGTTTAAATTTTGAAATTTCAAACTTTTGATTATGTTTGTTATTTAAATCAAATATATCAATGAGTATACATATAACGTTTATATACTTATCGACAAATACTAATATGTAATATCTAATAAGCGTTTAATCTATTTAAGTTAAATGTTTATCTAAATATATATATTTAAATAGCAAGATGAAAATAGAAATGGCGAAAGAGAGAAAAAGAAGTAAAAGAAAAAATTTTCTCTTCTCGGAAAGTCGTGGGTAGAGCGTAGCTAATCTATAGGTCGAAGGAGAAGCATCGACCTTGAGTGAACCTCGGGTCGATGGAGTCCTTGAATTTTGCACCCTCGTCTTGTAGCCTGGGAGTGTGTTTATCGTTTTATTATCGACGAAGATCTTCTACAAAGAAAGAAAGAGAAAATGAGCGAAGGAGTAAGTAAAACGAAAGAGAAAGAAAAAGAAAAAGAAAAAGAGAGAGTAAGGAAAATAAAGTGATAAGATCCTGCATTGTATACGAAATAAAGTCGTTTAGTACTAAGCACGATAGGGATCGTTACACTAAAATAGCAAAACTCTCAGCTTCGTGCGAGAACGTCGCGTGCAACAAGTATCGCGCCGGCTCTGACGAAGGATGCCACGTGACTTTTACCCCGCCGACGAATCGATATTGACCGGAAGCGGAAATCGTCCAAACTTTGATCAGTTCAAATCCGTTCTTATTTTTTATGATTATCTCTTCCTTCTTCATCTCATATTTAGTTCGTATATTTATATCGATTGATTGATTTTCATTGGTATCGTATAAAATTATTCAGGAATTATTTCATATAGTTCACGCATGACGATTATAATAATAGAAGATAATAGATACCCCGAAGGCGACATAATTAATTTAGAACAGTTGTTTTTGAAAGCATTATGATGAAACGATTATTCTTTGAAAGACGAAAATTTAAATAGAAATTTTTCACGAAGATTTCCCTTGGAAAGTTGTACAACAAATTGATCAGACCGACAGATTTTCTTTATAATGTTGTATCTGATCTTTTATTCTTGTAAAAAAAAAAAAAAAAACAAAGTACATTTTTTAAACATACTTTCACAGATATTTAATAATTATTTAAGACAGAAATAGGGCAACCTTAAAAGATACGCCTTGACCCTTAAATGCATAAGTACTAAACGACGATAAAGAAACTTAGAGAGCAAGCAAATTTCCTTATCTTCTTTCTCCATGCTATTGCAAACGTTTTTATTTGAAGTGTAAGTTTCTTTTGTTTAATGGTAAAGTAAATATTTTCTTTTCGTGTTCGTTTGATTTCGTTAAAACGAAAATAATATTTTAATTAATATGAACGTACCACAAAAAAAGAATGAAAAATATCCTTGTATTTTTATTACATTTTACTTCGATCCTAATTGGAAATAAAAAAAAAAAAATGATAATAAAAGTACGTGAATATATAATAATAGAAAAACAAAAGTACAATTAAATAACAAATTAGAAGTAAATATATTCTTCTGGTAGCTTAAAACTATTTCAGTCTAATCAAGTTTCCGCACGAATATTTACAATGTAGCAGGAAGCTTGTTGATAAAAACAAGAAAATGAAACCAAGGAGCTAATTATGGAAAATATATTCTGTTTTTTGTAATTTTCTAATGTAATATTATTTAACACTGAAATAAATTAAAAATTAAATTGTAAAAAGATAAATGAAATAATAATAGATTTTTCAATATACATGGGACATACCTTTAAAAATGAGATTATAATTTGTTATTATATGTTAATTAATGTACAGTAATTGGAATAAATCTATCAATATGCTTTTTTATATATTGAAAGTTAGTAAGTAAAACGAATAAATATATATAAATAAAGAGAAAGAGAAAGAGAAAGAGAAAGAGAGAGAAGAGAGTGTAATATTATTATCAGGCACGAGTAAGCAGCCGAGACCTTCACCGAGACCCGGTTGGTCGACATTGTCCCTTGCTATACTTATCCTACCCCGCCCAAGCAGCTACAGCGGCAGCATCAGCAGCAACGACGATAGCACCGTACTCACACAGAGACGCAAGCTAGACACGCATATAGACAGCACTTAGGGAAGAAAAGGATGGAAAAGGTATAGTAGGTATGTCTGGTGAGCAAGGAGAGAATAAGTGGGAGTGAAAAGGGAGAGGGTAAAGCCAGTCCACAGATACAAATACCTTCTACTAGCATCACCACCACTACTACTACTACTTGCGACAACGAAAAGTAATAGCGGCTGAAGCAGCGGCAGCAACAGCAGCAACAGCAACAGCACCATCACCAATACCAGCACCAGTATCGTCGTTAGTCTACATACTAGCCTGTTCACCCTGGCCTAGAGGTTTACCTTGCTCTCCTCGTGCTGTTACGATTGTGTTGGAGTTTGGGGATGTAGACGCAGGCGCGAACGCAGACAGAATATAGGTGGACAAAACGGCGCCGAGCATTCCGTCAAAGCCAGACAGTGCGGCACGATCGAAAGAGAGCGAGAACGAGGAAGTGAAAAACAAAATTTCGATCTCGAATATTAATATACAGTTGATAATAAATCATTTTTAACTTACCTCCGAGTATCATTCAAGTATCTCACGTCGTTAGAATTTTTCCTATTTTTCTCGTGAGAAATGGGAATCGTCAAAACGGCATCTGAGAGTATATTGGAAGAGACAGTCGTACCTAGTGAAGAAGCTAATTATTCTTTGCAAGGACATCCTGGTGAGTTATTGTTTCTACTT